ACTCCAGAGAAGTGTAACTTCTGGGTTTATTCCTTCTGAAAAAGAAGAAAAGAAAAAAAAAACTGAGTCTAAAATACTACGTGAATCAGGAAGCCTTTGGGCTATAAATGAAAGAAACCCTGCTCAAGTTAGCTTAATTAAAAAAAAAAAAAAAAGGGAGAGAGGAGAGAGAACTTATTGACTTGTATTCTGGGAGGGGCAAGGGTGAGGTTCAGGCACCAGAACCCAAGTTTTGAACATCCCCAAGGCATCACATTGTAGCTGCTGCCTGCCTTCCCCCAGGCTGCTTGTCAGGGAAGGGGATATGGCTACCAGCAGTTCCAGGATCACAAGCAGAGATGGCATTTTATTTCCCACCTACAGATGGTAATCTCAAGGAAGGACTTATTTGTCCAGCTCAGGTCATGTGACATCACCTCTGAGCCAACCACTATGGCCAGAAGCCTGCGATTCTATGATTAGCCGCCCAGCTTGGGCCGTATACCAGCCATGTGACCAGTGTGGTGATCCTGTTCTCAAAAAATTTGGGGGAGGACATGTGGGTGCAGATTATAGACTTGGGGAATCTCTGAAGTCAGGGTCACCCCTAATTTGTATTTTCTCCAACTGGCAACATCAAGCTTGGCTTTTAACTTTCTCCATCAACATCTACTAATATGTCACCTAATGAGCTGTTAGTTTCATATCACCTTCTCCAAAGGGCGCATGTGGTTCTCGACACTGAAGGAGTGGCTCCGTCCTTTTCTGCAAGCCACTTCACTCATGGTTGTACCACAGCTTCTTTGTCTGAAAGATGGGGTAACTGAGCCTGCTGCACTTTCCTTCCAGAAGTATGTGAGCACCCACAGAGCTAATGGACATAAAAATTGCTTTAGGAAGAACAAAGTACCATATTTACAAACACAGGATGTATTTATTGATTTATTTATGCTCCTTTGTGTTCCAAAAACGGATTTGAGGTTGCTTACCAAAATACACACAATACAGTGAGCTAAAAATAGATCAAGGGATAGAACCAAGGGAAACAAGGGTAGAAAAATAAAATAAAGCCAGAGAAAAATGCTAGTACACAGGAACTTAGGCTCAAAATCCCAGAACAAGTTCAGATCTGAGCCTCTTCAGGAACAAAGGAAGTGAGGAACATGACTGTTATGGCATAATTACTGTTACAAAAGGTACAGTAGCCATGAAATAAAGGCCTATCAGCACCCCAGAAAAGGCCACAGAGTTCATCTCATCACCAATGTCTGAAAGAAATGTCTTCTCATCAAGAAAATACTGTAGAGTCAAATGATTTGCATTTTCAATATGTAAATCCAGGTCCTTTTGATATCACCTGACACCTACTTCAGAGTCTCATCTGGAGTCATTCTCTATTTATGATCTGATTTAATTTAACAAAAAACTGGTACACCAACTAAGTAGCAAATAAAGCATCCTTCCATCACTTTTGTTTTCTTCATATGGTAAAATGAGCTAGGGCACAAGGCACGGTACAGATGAGTTTTACCAGTGAAGTATGTGGGCAAAAAAGTTCTAGCACCTCGGCTTAGCTGAAACATAAAAACTGCTAAGACATAAAACTGATCCAAGCAGGCCATAAAGACACCGCTGCCTTTGCTCAGAACTTAGGCTATAATCTGCTGCCCTGGAACAAAATTCAAACATAAATCAGCTTTCACTGTATTTTTAACCACCTCTGAAATTCTTCATTTCCTGCCTGAAATGCTTCTGACAGTGAACAATGCTACTCTCCCTCACCCCTGCTCTGCAAGGCTCCGTCGGGGCATGGCTGGGGACCCAAGCCTGGATCCCATAGTTAGACAAGCCTAACATGAGGCAAGAGGAGAAAGAAATGGTCTGTCTCCAAGACAAATAATCCAACTTTGGGCAAGTCCAGACAGTGCTTTTGTGCTAAATTGAAAAGAGTGCCCCCTTTTGGCAGGGAAACCCTTTGGGTTCTCACCTAAGAAGTCACATCTGACCTCCCTGACCCAGAGCCTCTACAAAGCCCTCCCCGACCCCAAACACTCAAGCATTCCCTTCTTTTGGAGCTCCCAATGCATCAACAGTAAGTACCAGACAGCTGGCATTTAATTGTATGATGTCTGCCATTCACTATTTCATGTTGTCAGTCTGTATCTCTAACTAGATTAAAGATATCTTGGAGTAATGATAGTTCTTATTTCACATGTCTACCTTACAGCTAACAAGGATGCCTTATGTCTGGGCACCTTACAAATACCAAGGTCATGAAAACAGAATCCTGGGGTATCTAAAATGTCTTGTTCTCCCTGCTCTGCCCATTTTTCAGAGGAGGAAATTGAGAGCCAAAGAGGAGGTGTGATCTGCCAAGGTCACGCAGTGAGAACCTGCCAGGAATGACACCAGCCAAAGCAGGTTCTCTGTCCTTCATTCACCTAGCTCTACCCCCTACCCCAAAATAGACAGTTCAGAACGACAGCTCACTGGGAAACAAACACAGACACACAGACCACCAGCCCACAGGAATGCATCTGCTCATGGGCAGGGTTCCCAGCACAGAGCCCAGCCAGGCTGCAATAAGTCTCAGCAAACAACAACCATGTCTTTGCAAGTGTGAGGGGAAAGAAAAGACCCCTGTGGATTACCTGGGCACCTGCAGGCTCCCCCATGTCCACCACTGTCTGTATTATTTAGACACATGAAATGGTGATTGATGGTGTCTGCTCAAGGACAAGTAGAGAAGTGGCAGGGCTCTCACCTCTGCAGAGAGATGCTTGTGCATTTTGGGGACTGCCTTTTGCAGTGAACAACACAACCCAAATTCCTAACAACTGATACTCCACAATAATGTTAAAGTCACCAGAAGCCATTATCAAAACAACAGTGACAAATACAAATTGCTCAGGGAAACCTATAAGGACAATGGTGGCAGCAGGCTTCTAGATCCTGCTATCTCGGCAGCTCTGGCATATTAGTGATTCTCACAACAACCCTATGAACCTGGCATGATGGGCTTGCTTAATAGGCATGGAAACTGAGGCTCAGCAAGCTGGAGTGTTTGTGCCACATCACATAGCTGCCAAGTCAAAGAGGTGGGATTGAAATCCAGGTTGGTCTTACTCTGAAAGCCTCCCAACCTTTATTACTGCCCACCGAGACTCTCATTCTAGAATTTTGTCCCATCACCAGAACCATGGGAATAGGTCTGGCTGGGGAAATGCAAGGCTGTTGCAAGAGAAAGACAACAGCTTGCCCATCTCAGCAGAAGAATGGGAGGAAGAGATGGGACTGCTGTGAGGCATGCCAGATCTCCCTGGCTTTCTTTTGGTGCCAAACAAACACAGAAGGAGCCACTTCTAAAAGAACACAGTGTCTTTCTTCCTCTCCTCACCTCCCCTGGGCTGGTGCCTGTGGTAATTGGGAAGTAGAGAGTCTGGTTTTTCTGGGATGGGAACCAATGCTGCGAAGAGTGTTGACAATGAATGTTGTTGATTGACAGTTGATGGACAGTGTTCTTGAGTAAGTTTTTCCTGTGCTGGGTGTTAAAGCTGAGAACTGCACTAAACTGCTCAACAGCCTGTGTCCTATTCAGAAAGAATTTACTACATTTTCCCTCTGAGGGCTGCAGTCAGACAGCCCAGTGAGATGATATCTCAGATCCTGTTCAGCTCCATCATTCAATGACTCTATCAAGAAGAGGACATAGGTCTGAAAATATTTTTTTTCTCAGTGAGTTGAGGTTATTATTCACACAGAAACACAGCCTCCAATGGAGAGATAATTGGTCAGGAAAAGGAGCTTTGGTTCAGGTCTCATAATCTTTGACCCAGTAATTCCACTTCTGTGAATTTATCTTAAAACAAGAACACAGAAGGACACAGCTCTGTGCAAAGATGTTTGTTTAGCACTATTTGCAGGTTTTAGCCTATAAAATAATGTCCAAAACAAAAATGGATGTTGGCACCTGGTATTATCACAATGATGAGTTCAAAGACATGGAAAAATGCCCATAATAATATTTTTCAAGCGGCACTTCACTCTCCATTAATGGGTATTTATTTGTTAGGTCTTCTGTCACCAATTTAAATTTTTGGTTGTTGTTAGATCAGTCTTACTGTGTTGCTAAGGCTATTCTCAAACTCGTGGGCTCAAGTGATCCTTTCTCCTCAGCTTTTCCACTAACTGGGACAACAGAAATGTGCCACCAGACCTTGCTCCATTAAAAAAAAAAATCAAATAGGCTACAATAGAAAATATCACATGCATCACAGATAGTAAAGGTACTTATTGTAAAACTTTGGTAACTGGGCCATGGAAGAATATATATATATTTATGGGGGTCATAGTCAAAACATTTCAAAGGCCGCAGATCAAAATAGTATAAAATACTATGTCAGTCTAAGCATGGGAAGGAATACACAGAAACAATGATAGGAACTGGTAAGATTGGTAAAATACAGATGCTGCTTCTCGTTTAAAGTTTTCTGTGATGTTGGTAGGCTGTTCTTAAGAATAAAACAAGAAAAATGAGTTAGAGCATAAGACAAAAAAAGACAGCTAGCAATATAGTAGGCCATTATCAGACCCCAAAGGGCAGAGGGGCTCGAGGTGGGGGCTTCCTGAAGGAGCAGGGCTACAGGTTGGACCTTGAAGGATGGACAGAATTTGAATTGGAGGGGGAAGTTGGCTTAAAACTGAGAGAGGTTGTCATTGATGCATGAAGGGCACAGAAGGACAAGATGGGGCTTGGGGTTTAAAAAAAAAAAAAAAAAAAGGCTCTCATTGATGAATAGCCACTTCCACCCACGGTTGAACCAAGTCATGGATCTTCCTCAGGCCTTATCCATTTTCCACTCTCATCCTAAGGCCTCAAACCAGAGGCTGCCCCTCACAAACATGGCCGTATCCAGCGGCCGCGCCCCTCATCAAGATGGCGACGGCAGTAGTCCCACCTTTCTCTGCCTCGCTGACCAATGAAAGAGACGCACGAGGACTTGCGCGTGCGTAGTGCGGCTCGGTGGGCGTGTCCAGCACCGACTGGGGATCCCGGCAAGCAACATGACTAAAAAGAAGCGGGAGAATTTGGGTGTCGCTCTAGAGGTGAGGGGAGAGGGCGGAGTCGGGTAATGGGTCCGCCCGGCTGGAAGGTTGGAGAGGGGGCCGCAGTGAGGGAGCAAGGGCGACGCGGGCCCGGGATAGGCACGCGAGGGGCGAGGGGCCCAATGGGACACCCAGAAGTGAGGAGGCACAAGGAAGAAACCCGAGGCAAGGGGAATCCACAGGGGAAGCGACACGGGGAGGAACCCCAAAGAAGCAGGGCCCAGAAGTGAGGGGACCCAAAGGAGAGGACGCGGAAATTAGGAGGAGCAGAGACAGCCAGGTAAGTGAAGAGTAGCCAGAAGGGACACACAGGTGACGCCTAAGGAGCAGGGACCTGAAGATGGGGGGACCCACTGGGGAGGGAGCCCCTACCCTTCAGTGTTTTACTGCTGACCTGAGTACCCTGAGATGGGACATTTCCCTCTAGGGTACGAGTCTTGTGGCTTGGACATTATTTTGAGAACCTTTGAGCATCTGTAAAGAGAATTCTAGAATTAGTGATGTTACCAAGGGCTTAAAAGTGGTCTACCGCCTATGGAAAAGAAAGAGGAGGGCAGCACGTGGAGTCACTACTACAGGCCTCTTTCACTTGCCTTCTCCACTAAAATGAGGATAGCGAGATTTCAAGTAGGATCCATGGTGGCACAGGCCCGAAATCTCAGCACTGGGGAAGCTGATGCTGAGGATCAAGGAGTTCAAGGCCAGCCAGGGCTACATAGGGAGACCTTCTTTCTTTCCCTCCCCCCAAAAACCCCACAACAACAAAATAAAATCCACGTTGAAGTTGTAGGAGTGATGGATTAGAGAATCGAGCCCAGGTGATCTTCCTGGAAGTGGGACTTGTTTCCTCTTGGAGTTCCCCTGGAGCACCCTCCCAAAATACCAGACAATAATCTTCTTTAGGCTTACTACTAGTCTGTGATTCTCAAAGTTAAGAATGCAAATGAACCACCTATAGAACTTGCTAAAAAGGGAGGGCCAAATTCTTCCCCCATCCCAAGGAATTCAGTAGCACCAGGTCAGGTGTGCATCTTTAACAAGCCATGCATGCCTGTGCTGAGGCAGGTGGTTTTGTAGCCCTGCTTCCTTGTAAAATATCAGCCTACTTAATAGGAAAAAAGTCATTGGAAATGTGACTCTCCTTCGAAAAGAGAATAGTGTACGAATGGTGAAATGAGTTGTCACTATATAGTGTGAAGAGTATAGACTTTATAGGCTGTCTTAGGGCACAGTAAACTGTGATAACAGAAATCCCAAAACTCAGTGACTTCAAAAACAAAGTTTCTCATTTTCTCTAACAGGCGAGAGAGGGGGTTAGCAAACTTGGGTATAAAGAGTCCGACAGTAAATATTTTAGGAATTGTGGGCAGAATGGTCTCTGTTGGAACTACAGTCGATCCTTAGTATTCACTGATTCCAGTCTGCCTACTGGCTAAAGTTTATTTGTTGCCCCCAAATCGATACTCGAAGCATTTTTGAGGTCATTCACAGCCAAATAAAGAGTGGCAGGAAAAAAAAAAAAAAAGTCACCTGAGATCCAGCTAAGGTCAAACAAGCGATGGTCTGCCTTTACTAGAGGGGACCTACTGTAAGCAGATGTCCTTTTTATGGTCTGTTTAGTGCCATGTTTTTTTGCATTTTTTTATTGGTGAGTCTGCTCAAATGGCCCCTATGCATAGTGATGACTAGTGTTCAAAGGCTGCCATGTGCCTTGTTAGAGAAACGTGGGTTTGTAACTCAGCCCTGAGAGGTACTGTTGGTCACTAGTTCAGTGTCAGTGAAGCAACGTTCAATAAAATCTCTTTAAACAGAAACACATGCAAAACAAAGCTTTATATGAATTAGTTGAGAAAAATGTATGAGGCAGAACCTCCCAAGAACCTAACCTGTATTTGCAAATTCAGTGTTGGCTCAATTTTAAAGAACCTAATTACCCTGAATAATGAGAACCACCTGAATTCAGATAGGCTGTCTTAACAAAAAAGCAGCCATGGGCAATATGTAAGTGACTGGGTGTGACTCTGTTCCAGTAAAACTTTATTTACAGCCGGGCCTGGTGGTGCACTCAGGAGATTATGCAGGAAGATCTTGGGCTGACACTAGCCTAGGTTATGTACTGAAACCCTGTCTCAAAAAGACAACTAAACAAAAAGCTCCCACTCCACCCCGCCCCCCCCCCAAAAAAAACTTCATTTACAAAAACAGGCAGTAACCATGTTTGGCTCACAGGCCCTCATTTGCCATTCCTTGGCTTAGAATACCTGGACTGTGGTGGTTCTGTCAGATTCTTTGACTATGGGCCTTGTTATCACCTTGTCAATAAAACCAGAATACCCTCCATTGACATGTCTTTTGGCAGAGAGAGAGAGTGGAAGAGGTAACTGCCCACTGTCTTAAGGATCCTTGGCACAAACTGCCCACTTTCATGGGCAAGAACTAAGACGTGTGGCCCCAGTAAGTGCAAGGGGGTTCTGGGAAATCCACCAGAAGGTCTCATGCCCAGCTGTAACTTGCTTACCACAGAAGAAGGTGTTGGCATTTTGTATAGACAGCCTGCAGTCTCCACTGCCCATCCCCTCACCTAACAGTGTGGCTGAGACAATTAAAGGAGATATACATATAAAGTGCCTAGTGCATGCCTGGCACAAGGTGGGTAGTTAGTAACAGTAGGTTGCCTTTGGAGTTCTTTTGCATCTATCTGCCATGGCTGTGGCAACCCAGTGTTTGGGCCTTAGTTTCTTTATCTGTAGTGTGAAGAATTTGAACTCCACTGGGTGTTACAAACTGACCAACTGTGTCCAAACAGAGATAATGGATGTCTTTTGTTTCAGTTTTTAGTTGAGTTTGATTACGCATATATTCTTAGTGCGGTATTCTGGGCAGATTCACCCTTTTTTTTTATCCTCTTGAGACCACTATATGTATTTTTATAGATACTTACATAGGTATTTAAAAATACATATAAATATATTTGCCCTCCCTGTCTCTAAGTTACTTTTTGCTTGGTTACTCAAGGTTTTGAGATCTGTAACTCTGCTTGGGAAAAGCCTGGCGTCTGGCTGCCTGCCTCCTTGCTCCTCTGTTGCCCCAGAGGGCCAGAGTATTGAATGTGCACTGACGCTGAGGAGCAGTAGATATTGTGCTCTTATTAAAAGTCATGTGCTCAGAGCCAATGAAGTGGTGATTTAATCAAAAATGTTTGTTAATCTGACGAGTGCAATAAACCCCCCACAAGTGAGTGATCTCTCAGCACCTGCAAAGTCTCCACTTGTAATGAAGCAATTACCAGGCAGGCGGCACTCACCCAAAGGCTGGAGCGGCCCAGCTGCACTGGGCAGTCACCTCCTAGGATAGCCAAGGCACCTTCTAGCCTCCCCCGCTCATGGTCCTTTTTGAGGCCTTTTTATCCAACTCATTTGCCACCTTGTGAGATCTGAGTCGGAAATAACTGGCTGTTAGTTTTAGGTTCTGAGAGTTTATTCTGAATGATTTCTCATTTGAGATGAGAAATCTCTGGCCCTGACTTTAATGTGTGGGAGAAGAGAGAGGTTGCACTTCAATCTAAATGGATAGGAAGATTTTGGCCAATACATAATTTGTTTTTACATCTCTGGTAGTAAAATACCTGGTCATTGCACTTTTCTTTTGTGGCTAGACTGTTTGACCTGGTGTCTTTAGATGTTTCACTGGCCGGTTGATCTTAAGTTATCAGATGTGTCTTAGCTGACATCTTAACAGGGATAACTTGGTAACTTGGTTGGATTTGATCCACAGTGCAAAAATCTTATTACTTAGAAAAGCTTTTGTCTACAAGTTACAGAAAGTTCACCTTACGGACTTCAGCAAATAGGAGTATACTGTTTTGCCCCATAGAAATTTGTAGGTTGGTAGAAATTTGAACCACTTGCACTGGTTCAAAGCTCAGCTATATCTAATAACTGATACCTAATATCAGGGTTAGTGTTTCTGCATACTTTAGCTGTGTCCTCATAGTCATAAGATAGCTGCCACAACTCCAGACATCATTTTCAACGTTAAGTCAAGGAGAAGGAGAAGAACTGGGCTCTGGTGGCTCACGCCTATAATCCTAGCTATTCAGGAGGCAGAGATCAGAAACATCACAGTTTGAAGCCAGCCTGGGCAAATAATTAGCAAGACCCTATCTTAAAAAAAAAAACCCATCGCAATAAAGGTCTGGTGGATGGCTCAAGGTGTAGGCCCTGAGTTCAAGCCCCAGTACCGGAAGAAAAAAAAAAAAAAGAGAGAAAGAAGGAAATAGCAGCACTATTTGTCCCTTTTACTAGCAAAGCATAAGCTTTCACAGGAGCCTTCCAGCTGATTTCTGAACATCTCATTGGCCAGAACTGGGTTGTGCATGATTGACTCCAGCTGCAGTGAGACTGGGAAAGCCCCTTTTCTGCTTTTCCTACTTCTGCAGTAGAGGTGCGTGGAGGAGGAGGGGCTGGGAGTCAGTGCTGGACTAACAGTATCTGTAGTAAGGAATAAAAGTCAATGGGAGGGCTGGTAGAGTGGCTCAAGTGGTAAGAGTGCCTACCTACCAAGCATGAGGCCCTAAGCTCAAACCCCAGTGCCGCCAAAAAAAAAAACCAAAACCACAAAAGTCAACGGGAATCATTTAAAATTCTCTGGAATCCTTACAAGGAGAAAGGACTGTTGATCACTCAGGAGAGGTAGCAGGCTGAGGGGAGAAAATGGCCTAGCTAGAATGAGCACCAGGAGGAAGGGAGTCGCTTGACCCTGTGATTATAATCAATGCCAGCCCCTGCCGTAGACCCCACGGGGCAGAGGGCAGAAGTAGGAATTGTGGGTGAAGTCGGTCTCAGGAGGCCCGGGACAGGCCTGTGCAGAAGGCTGCAGGAACCAGTTTCCTGAAAACAAGCAGCTAGTGGCCGTCATTAAATATGTGCCCGCTGACCTGAGTGGCAGGAGGCAGCACTGGGTGCTGGGTGGGCAGAGGTTAGGAGCCGGCAGTTAGAGCT